TGGTCCAAACTGATGGTAACTACGTGTTACAGGTATTGTATTAGCAGTATCCAATCGTTCTTTAAGAGCGGTTCTCACCAAAGTTAAATCTTCTGATGAAATATATATGAAATTTATGCTTCAATGTTTTCATTGCAATATTTATACATTGTTTGTGGAGATAAAATATGATTACCCATATCTCTTTGCAAACTTGCTAGTGTTGCCAGACGTTTGACTGTACCACCTATCCCATCACAAGGTTGCTTACTGTGACTAGTTGCAAAAAGTTCCATTTAGCAGTAAAACCAAAATCTTCACAATGGAAACAAAGATTTAACATATTTTTGCAATTCTTATATTGACCTGCACACCCATCTGAAAAGTATTCAATATTTTTTATTTGAGGCAAATTTGTTTTTATATCATTGCAAACAACCTTAATAATTTTATAAACCATGTTCACGTCATGGATCATATCATCCGAAATAATACAATAGGATTTGTGCTTGAGAATGCCTTTTTTTTTGAAATAAATAAATCACTGGATGAAGTGTACATTGTAAATTTGTCCAACAAAAGCTTTGCACTTCATCCTGAACTACAAATTTATAGTTTTCTGAAAAATCACCCAGAAATAATGCTGTTACCTCATTCATATCTTCCTTTCTTGATCTCAGGTATAATACTTGACTCTTTGCTAAATACGAATGTGGTGCAAGGTTTTCCAGTTTTCTACATACTAGTTCAATGTATTCAAACACTATCTACTAATTATTGTAAATTCTCCATTAACTACTTACAAAACTTATGTAAAAGTAAAAGATAACTAAATATAATTTTATTTAGTTATGTAACTTAACATGGTAATGTTAATTAGACATTATTATATCATTTTATTACTTTTTTTATTGATGATAATAAATGTTTTATTATAACAAAACAATCAACAACAAAAGTTACATAATATTGTTAAATTTAATGACATGGTATTATGTAATGAAAGTAAAAAGAAACAAATTTATAAAATGTTCAACTATGTTTTGTAATAACTTTGTAAATTTTTTACAAAGCTATTACAAAACAGAAATAATTGTATTTGTATTCAAAATATATTTGCAAAATATCTTTAGAAAAATTGAAAATCTAAAACATTAATAACTCCTTGATAAAACATTAGGCCAAATAAAAATTGGTTCGCAAAGTAGATATATGTTTAATATTTAAAATAACGAAAACCAAAACTTTTTTTCATCAGTCAGATTTTTTCTAGAACTATAGTTGTCAATGGCCTTTTTTATTGTCATTAACAAGTGCGTTTTGTGGATTTAAAAATAAACTATATCTTATTGTTTTGAGAGATATAAGTTTATGATTTTCAGATTCAGCAGGTTTTAAACTCCTTTGGTACCAAGTTTTAGCTTTACAACATTACTACAAGTTTTTTAAAAGGGTAATGGTAAATTGACATATTTCCGCCTTTATCCCCCCTTTTTTTTTCAGTCAAAAAATAACTAACTTCAAGTTGCTGTAAATCTTAAAGGGTTGAGAATTTTTTGAAAAAATTTTACAGTATTTCCTAACTTATATCTTTAAACATTTGTGCCAAATTTCAGCCAATTTGGTGATGCAGGGTGCAACCCCTTGTTTTTGAGAAATTTTTACCCCAAAGTTAACATTGCGTTATCTATAGACGATCCCTAATATGTTATATATTATTACAATATTTTTTTTTAATTGTCACGAAAGTTTTCCATGTTTGTTGCATTGTTTCTTTTTAGGTAAAATAGTCATCATTATTTGGCAGTAAAAATCCAGGGGATACAATTAAAAATGTTTATTAATTATACTAAATTTACTATAATTATACTATAATTTTTTTAAATTCAAAAAACAGTTTGAATTTTAACTTTAATGTTTGACAGTACGGCATTTATCAGCTTTTTTATATATGTAGACTGCCAACAGACACTATTTTGTCAGAATACAGAATGGTCTAAAGAAGAAAAAAAAGTTTAAAGAGTTGATAAGTCTATGTAACGCTGTCACTGGTATTTTAACTAGCTTATTAATGTGTTTGAATAATTTTTTAAATTAAAAATAATAAAAAAAAATATATACATTTTTAATTTCTTTGGCTATTGAACATGGCATGTATTCAATTATATTTTATTTTATGATTTTATTAAAATATATGTAGTTGTTTTATTAGCTGCTTTAAAGTCAAATAAAAACAAAACCAAAATGGATGTCATCCAACTTATTGGGAGAGTAATTAGGCATTCTTTTGACCGATTAAAGAGAAGATCCACTAATATGAATATTGATCAATGATGGCTTAATTAGCTGTTGTATTTTATATTAATTTTCCATTTTTCATCAATTTTCTTCAATTTATAATACACTATCGATTATACTCTACAGAACCTATAAGTTTTTATTTTGGAAAGTGTAACTTTGTTTAAAAAATCATTCTTATTTTTTGTAAAATTATTATTTTTTTTTAAATATATCAAATTACAATTTATTTACTTTGATTTCTTTTTTAAATTTCCTTTCCTAGATTATATCAAATATGAGGTGTGGTTGTAAATCATTGCTTTTTTATATAACTTTTAAAAGAATGTGTTGGTAAATTGGAACATCTCTAGGATGTCTGAATATGACGTCCTTAAGACTTTTATATGAGACCAGTTAAAGACGTCTCTAGGACGTCTTGAAAAGACATGTTTAGGATGTCTGGAATAGACGTGCTTAAATCTTTCATTTGAGACCAACTAAAGACGTCTAACGGACGAGACTTGAGACGTCTTATGAACGTCCTTAGGACGTCAAAATGCCCGCTGGGCAGTCACCAAGTAATTGGAAAGTATGCACCATCAATCTTTCTGTTTCATTTGAGAGTACCATTGTTGTACCTGAGCCATGGAAGCCTTTGTTGTTGTTATTTTTGAGATCTTTCAGTGTTGAGACTAAAACGCCATTTTTGAATGCTGCTTTTCTCAGTGATGTTTTGTTTTCTTTCATATAATTAATCATAACATTATAGTTCATATTTAATTAAATCAGAATTAACACATTTAATGTGATAAAAATAGGCGCTTAGTCAATTTCAAAAACTAAACTAAGTAATTAATCGAGTGTGTGGTTTTATCAGAATAAATAGTTTTTTTTACTTTTATGATTTTTATTTAACTTTTTGTTCTAGCTGCATAAAAATTATGCTATCAGAATTAAAATTAAATTTCCAACAAGATAGTGCTAAAATTATTTTTATATCGGTTTCTTTTCAAGCGCTATTTTGCTCGCAACGATAAAAAATATAACAAACTTTGACTTCCCGTTAAAGTTATATAAAAAAATATATATATATAATTGAATTGTCATATATTTTTATCAATTCGAATAGAGGAAAAAGTTCTGTATTTGAATCTATTTTTATTTTTTTCATAGCCATATCTGTTTAGTTTTTATTTTATAATTTCGATCAGTGTGCGGAATGATATGGTGTGCAATTTGACCCGGTTTTACTCTATATTTTAATCTATATCATTAAATAATTTGAAAGTTTTAATTTTTTGGTAATTTACCACGATTTATTAAGTTTATACTTAGTTATACATAGGTTCAAATTAACAATTTTATTTAACTACTTAGATTTAAATTAACAATGTTATTATATCTTTGGTTGAAAATAACAATGTTATTATATCTACTCAAGTTCAAATAAATAATGCAATATATTCTGCTAAGGCTCAGTAATATTTAAGTTCTAGACATAATTCCTAATTTAAGCTTCAAATCAGTTTTCTTGAATCTCAGAAATATACGCTATGCACTACATTGTGATACAAGTTTGCTAAAATTTTTTTAAAAATGCAAAAATATGCATCAAAGAACTAGACCGACTAGACAGTTTTCTTGAAATTAATCTCGTTTTAATTTTTCAGATATTAATAATTCTAAATTTTATATTTAACTTTTAATTCAATTATTATTTCAATTCTGTCAAACTTTCAGCAATTATTTTGATAGGATATTATTTGACAGGATACTTGTTAAGTATTATAATAAATGGTTCAAGGCAACAGTATTAAAACAATTTTTTACGTAAGAATTTTTTTTCTGGCCAAAGTTATAACACATGCACCCTCATTATTCTTGTCCAGTACTAATTGTTGTCAGGTTTTTTTATTCATAAAAATAGAGCGTGATAGTTCCATACAGAAATATCAAGTTTCCTAAAAGACATCAATCTTGATAAACACATTCTGTTATTGATTGGTTTATACCTTTTTATAATCATTAAATATTTAAATTAATTTTTTACAAAAAATATGAAAAAAAGACAGAGAGCATGTGAACAGCTTTGTGGTCAAAGAAGTGCACCAACAAAAATGCAACTATTACAATGTAAAATTTGAAATAAATAAAAAAAGATTATTATATTAAATTTTTTCAATACATTTTAATAATTTTGATTCAGTAATAACTTTATTTCAGATTTTGTTCTTCAGATAATTACTAACTTCAGTTTTTACTCACATTAACGAAATCAATTATTTGTATTTCTAATTTTAGTAAACGTTAATAAAAATATCACCGCTTACTTGACAAGAAAATTTGATTGCACCACATATGATAGCCACACTCGATCTATGGGATGGCACAGATAGGGGCCATGTGTATAAATGGTCTTGATAGATAAGTAGCATAAGAACTATAGCTACATTTGAGCCATATGTGTCTACCACCTTAAGTGTTACGTCAACAACACATGTGCACAATCAAATTTTCTTGTTGGGTAGGTTATCTATTAATAATGTGATATCTACTTTTAATTAAAGTTCAAATTAAAAAAATTAATTTAATACCTACTTTAAATTAAATAACTAGTTCAAATTGAAATGCGATAATACAAATACCCAAGCATTGTATAAAATAAAAACATTCTCAATTATGCTACAAAGCAAAATAAAAATCTGTAAAAAAGTGAAAGTTGTTTGAAAAATAAAACTTACAAGTAAATTCATAACTACAATGACCATAATAATAGCAAATAGAAGAAAAATTATTATAGAGAGATCCTCATTATGCGCTTTTTTATTTTCTTGTTTAAAGGTGGACCCATAAGTTAACTCTCCAAGCATCATAACAAATGTTTTCACAATTGAACGGAAATAACCACTAAATGGTTGCTGATTATGGAGTAATGTAAAAAACGACAAACCAAAACCAATTAGAAGAATGCTGAAGACTAACAAAACTTTTAAAAATGTGTACAAAACCTAAAACCAAAAAATTGTACAATACAGATTATGATTAGTTATTACAATGCAAAAATAATTTTGTCTAAAAAACTTGTCAAACATATTTAAATGAACCTTTTTTTTTTATTTAGCAGTGTACAGCAAACTATGGCACCTCTAAAATGCTTGGCAAGCAATCCTACTTTAAAAGGCATAAAAACTCTTTTTTTTAAGTTAATCAAAAACTTTTTAACTTTTTTTTTTTTAAATTTAGGCATAGCTTTTTATTTAAACATGACTTATTATTTAAGCACGGCTTTTTATTTAAGTATGCCTTTTTATATAAACATGGCTTATTTAAGCTAAAATAAAGCATCAATATAGTTGACAATATATAACAACTATCACTTTTAGATTTAAACATGTTTGACTTTATAATAGTGAATGCTTTCACTAATATGAAACTAAAGAATCCTTCAAATCAAGTAATGTTTATCTTGTGTGATGAACTCATAAAAGGAATACATCTTGATAAAAGCTTTATTCAACAATAATATATTAATCTTAAGATACAAAAGTTGAAATATATATATATATATATATATATATATATATATATATATATATATATATATATATATATATATATATATGTATATATATATATATATATATATATATATATATATATATATATATATATATATATATATATATATATATATATATATATATATATATATATATATATATGCAAAAATGTACTGCTGTTATTGTGAAAGTACGAAAACGTACTTGTTGGTAATGTAAAATTGTTCCTTTTTTACAAATAAGAAAACAAGTTTGTTTGTTTTTTAAAAAAAAAAATATTTTTTATAGTTTTAATTTTAAATGAAAATTAAAATAATTTCAAAATCAGCTATTTTGAGTCCTGACTGAAAAAATCATGAAAAAATAAAATTTCACTAATATTATCATCAAAATGTTTCCAAGGTGAACTTTAAGAACTCATCTAAACTCAAAAATAGTTACTTTACCTTCCTTTTATAACTAAAAAAATATCATTTGCCTATATATATATATATATATATATATATATATATATATATATATATATATATATATATATATATATATATATATATATATATATATATATATATATATATATATATATATATATATATATATATATATATATATATATATATATATATATAATTGAAAATACATCATGTACGGTGACATACTACTTATTTAACTATTAAAATTTTTTAATATTAAATGTGATATTTATATATATATTATAAATATATATATATATATATATATATATATATATATATATATATATATATATATATATATATATATATATATATATATATATATTTCAATTGACTCAGAAATATTTGTTTTAAAACTTTTTTTTTGGCTATGAGATTTCCTCTATTTTAATAAATATATATATATATATATATATATATATATACATATATATATATATATATATTTATTTATTTATATATATGTATATATATGAATATATATATATATATATATATATATATATATATATATATATATATATATATATACATATATATATATATATATATATATATATATATATATATATATATATATATATATATATATATATATATATATATATATATATATATATATATATCTGTGTGTGTATTAAATTCATATTACTTGACTATTATATATTGTTTATATTTAAATACAAACTATATTTTAAATGTATAAGGTATCAAAGAATATTTTATTTAGAAATGTTGATTGCCCTTTGAATATTTCGAAGTCACGGAATCTTTGCATGGGAGTTTAATTGATAAGCCACAGATGAATTTTTCAAAATTGTCACACAAAGCAGAATTTTAAATGATATAATTTTTTTTTTAAATTAGGTATTATTCCTAAATCAAAAGAAGTTATTAAATAATTTTCATTGAAGTTTATCAATTATGGAATAATGTTTCTCAGAGAAATCTGTGCAAAATAAAGTAAAAATAAAAGTTTTTGATTAAATCAACACAAAATTTAATTAAGTAGACAATTATTATAAATATTATCTCTCTTTTATAAACTTCAGAAATCTTCTAATGGGATTATCATACATTATTGTGACAGAGCTTATTGTCACTTTTAAGAAATGAAATCAAAATAAATTATAGTCAGTTGTTTGATGATACAACAATTGATGAACCAGGCTATTAGTGAAAGTTAGAACTTGAAATGACTTGAAATTTAGAAGAAAGTTGAGATAATTACACCATCCCATTAGAACGTGCAAAGATCACTGGGTGATAGCATTATGTAAAATACACTATTTCTTAGTTTTTAAGTTGTTTCTAGACTTTTCTAAGGGCAGTTATATATTCCACGCGGTCTTTCGAGTAAAGTCAGCAAGAAAATCGGAGCTGATATACTTATTTTCAAGAAGAATTGATGTTGTTTATTTTTTTAAATAAAAATTTAAATAATTGTTAGTTTGTTGTTGCTTATTTTTATTTTTTAATTTTTATATCCTGTTTATATTTTTTAGAAGAAGTTAGAACTAAAATGTTTGGTAAAATAGTTTTTTTAGTAAAATGTTTATTTTTTAGTAAACTGTTTCATTTTGCCGTTAGTCTTTTTAGAATATTTTAAGCAAGTATTGTTTTATTTTTTAGAGCAGTTAAGAGAAGCTGATGGTTTTTTTAGTAAGTTCAATTCGTTTTCTTATTTAAAGATTAAGATTGTTTTTTGCATAAAGAATTATAAAATAGTTTTTTACATGTATTTAAGTTTTCTATATGTATTTAATTTGAAATGTTAAATAAAATAAGACTGTTATTTGTGTTCATGTAAGCTTATATACATAATTTTGCGTTTATTTTAGTCTATTTTATATTTCTCTACATCTATACTATATGTATATTTTCTCTTAGCAAAAATTATTGAGAATAGAAAAATAAAAAAAATTCTTCTGGAATTTGTCAAAAGAATGTTGTGTTATGCTTCATTTTAAAGTATCTAATTATGTATTTATTTTTCATTTTTTAGAAGAAGTTAGAATTAAATTGACTGATAATATAGTTTTATTAGTACAATGTTTTTTTTTAAGTAAACTGTTTCAGTTTTGTCATTAGTCTTTTTAAAACATTTTAAGCAAGCATTTGTTTTATTTTTTAGAGCAGTTAAGAGGAACTGATCGCTTTTTTAGTAAGTTCAATTCATTTTCTCATAGACATAGACTATGATTTTTTTTTATAGAAAGAATAATGAGAATAAAATTTTATTTGTGTATTTAATATGAAAAGTTAAATAAAATAAGACTGTTATTTGTGGTCATGTAAGATTATATACATAAGTTTGCGTTTATTTCAGTCTATTTTATATTTCTCTATATCTATATGTAATACATATAGATATAGAGAATTTATTTACATTTATAAAACAACTATATAACATATATTATATGTTATATAGTTGTTTTATAAATGTGTTTATATAAATGTGTTTTTATAATAGTATGCAATGTATTATATCTAAGTAACATTAAAAAAATATATTGTGTTTTATAATTAGTATATATATTTATATAATGTTGTTTCCATGATTTCAAAATGGCGTGACTTGGCAAACGTGTAGAGCAAGATTTATCAACCTTACCAGTCAAGCGATGTTACTGCTTTAGGTCTAAGTATTGCCTAGCCTTTTCTATAACTATTCTGAAAACACATTGCATTATTTTTTGCGTAATGTTGTTGCCTTTGACTTATCTTTATATATCAGTATATTTTATATTACTCTGAATCTATATAAATGTTATCTCAAATAAAATTAAAAAGAATAGAAAAAATTTGAATATATATATACATACATACATATATTACTTTAGACTGACATTGCTTCATTTTTTATACAAAATTCTGCATGTATTACTTTTGTGCATTAAGATTGTGCCTGAGGTTTAAATAACTTTGCATTGTAGTCTAAATTCTTTGCTAAATTAAAATAATGTCAATAAATTTTGTTTTATATTTTTCAGTTATAAAAATATAAAACGTTCATTAATTCAGTTGTAACAGTAGTATAATCACTGGTAATATGTTTAATGATAACAGATGTATAATATTAGGCTCTATATACAGATGTATAATATTAGAAGTTATTAGTGTAAATGGTTATAGGTGACTTGAATTGTTGTCATATGAAAGAAATAAATCTAGGCGTGATAAAATTTATTGTCATTGAAATATAAGAAATTTTGCTTGATGAACAGAAAACTTACTTGCCAGAATTCAGTGTCAAGCGGTATTGATGTCTATTATTTGATTTTTACATTAGACACTTTAAAATAAAGCAAAGTATGAGTTTTGCTATTTATAGTAACAAATAATAACAGTTTCAATTTTAAATGATTTTAATTTTTTTTTTTTTTTTTTTGTCATCTTAAATATAATTGTGTTCATTTTTTTTTTAGTTGTCTTTGTCATCACTTGATTATATTGCTTACTGTTGAAACATGGTTTTAATTTTGTAAATTTAATATGATGTGAAATTTACAATATTAATCATTTGTCAACAGTTAGAGAGAAGCTGGAACTTAATTAAGAAATGCTGGAAATTAACTTTTAGTTAAGGTAAAAATTATTTTGCTTATTGGTAGCAAAATAAAACCAGTTACTGTTATTTATTATTATTGTTAATTATTATTGTATGACTTTTTTACTTTTTCTAACGTGCTGCTTTTGAAACACTTTCTTTCTCTCTTAAATGAGACTTAAATAAGAATTAGTATTAAGAATTGTAGAGGGAGAATTGATTAAACTCATGTAATAACTGAGCTCTTGCATATTTTTTAATACTGCAATTGATAATGACCATTTATAAGATATATTTACAAGTTGCTTACTATTTAAAGATATAATTTTTTAAATTGTCCCTTGGTTGTTCAAATATTGTAATAAAATCTTTTTAGTTTCAAGTATTTTCTTTTAGGGATCGTCCATATATTACATAACACGAAATTAAACATATAGACAAAAGAAATATCTCAGAAACCGTGTTTCTCTTATGGTCAACTATATGTTGCATTTTCAAGAACTTTAGCATTTAATAGTTTGTTTTTCAAAATTGATAAACATCTTATTCAAGTTATAGTAGGTTAAAAAATGTTACATAAATATTGTTATATTTTTTAATGTTCTTAATTTATAGTCTTAAAATTTTCATTTCGAAAAATTACTGTTAAAGGTTGTGAGCACATTTTGTATGTATAACTTTATTTATCATTATTTATTTTTTTACATAGTTTTTGATAAATATATCTATCATTCAATAGTTGTAAGATGTGTTTATATGTGTTACATAAAGTCATATTTGTTTATAGTTGTATATATGTTTAAATTATAAAGCCAAGACAACAATTTGTATCTTAGTTTAATTTTTATTTAGTTTTGTTAATGCTTTTGTACTTCGAAACAGATTTTATAGTTACATTTTCGATGAATTTTTAACTGCAATTTTAAAATAGGTTACTATAAATAGGTAAATCGATTTTCGGTAATTGTGTGGTGGTTTTTTTTTTTTTTTTTCTTCGTAATTATGATATCATAATTTCATTACTTTTTTATTTTAGATTTACGTTATGATGCATTTATAAGATTTATAAAATAAAAAAACCTGATTTCTTTTTATTGTAAATTTTTGTTAGTTATGAAAATATAAATATATGCTATTAGTTAATTTTAGATTTTATCTATTTTATGCCTAATAATTTGTTGTATGTATTTTAAGGGGATCTTTGTAAATAGGGGGTCGTAACTAAAAGCCTTTAAAAATATGGAGAATATTGTAGTTTTGCGCATTAATATTGAATTACTCAAGTTTTATTTATGTGTTTAACTAATTAGTTAGCTTAGTCTGTATTTGCAATACTATTGAGGAAAGAAAGAAAACATTCTTATATATGTATTTTATTGTTTTACATTTTATTATTTTGGTAAAAGGTCTTCATCAAAAACATGATTACTCTTAATAAAAAAAACTCTACTCACCTGGCCACCATTAAAGCAAAAAGAGGGGAGGAACCTCTTTATTAGAGTCAAAATATTTAGGAAAATTAAATTTCGAGTTACAAAAGCAATTTTTAGTAAATGGTGGCAAATTATTGTTTACTAAATATTAATGAAATAAAGAGGCCAAACAAATAATATAGAAATGGTCTGTGTCTTAACAAGACCCGGGTAGGGTCAGCTTGGTTTACAAACTTTTATGTCTACTTATCTGTTATAATTTTTATTTTATGTTTGTCATATGATGCATTAATGCATTAAGTTTACATATTTTTTCAAATTTGTTACACCCATGTTTGATTCAAATTTTTTTTGTTTGAAACGCATTTGTACTCAGTTGCTTAGTTATTTGTTATAATAAATAAGTTATTTGTTATAAGTAACTAAGTTTATTATAGTTATAATAAACTTAGTTATTTTTAATAAATTTATTTAAATGTGTGCATTTAACATTTTAAAGTTAACAATTTTCTTTTCTAAAGAATAATTAATCAAAAAAATTAATAACTCCTGTATAATATAAGTTAACTTCATTTTAATCTTAATGGTTCGTGTTATAAAAATTATTACAAGGATTTAGTTGATACTTTCGTCAATTTAAAGCATGATAAAGTGTTATTATTTTGTGTCAGTAACTAAAAACGTATTGTGTTAAACTTAGGAAGGTCGATGAAAATGGTTCTACCTTACACTGTTATGACCTATGCCATTTGTAAATTACTCAAATAATGTTAAGTAGTAATTGTAAATGTTAAGTAGTAGTTGGTAAATTATTTTACCTCCTCATACTTTTTATGTTAATTTTACAGATGGATTAATTTTTTCAAGCTGAAGGCAATTTTCTAAAAGGGTATTAATTAAGGTTTTGCAACATTAAATTGTGGAAAACAGCCACTATAAATTAATTATGTAACAGACCTACCAAAACCCGTGTTACGGGTTGCTTTTTGCTAGTATTCATATAATAACCATGACACCAAGCCGCGTATAATGGGCTTTGGCTCAGGGTTATATGAGTGTAACTTTAGCTATATTATCATTAAATATTACACAATTACAATCAATATTTTACGTTAATATAAAACGCCAATGTTTTTCCAACTTGTATTTACATTAGTATAACGTTAATCTAACTTTAGAATTTTACGTTAATATAACGTTAATATCTAACGTAAATCTAACATAAGAATTTTACGTTACAAAAACTTTCCATTTTGCCGAACCAGCAACGTTGTACTAACATAAAATCCAAGTTAAATAAAACGTTAATTCAACATTGTGTTCCCGCTGGGTAACTAGTCTATTTTTTTCTTTTTTATATAAATCTCTAAACAACATTATCTTTTGACTATACAAACCAAAACATACTGGTCCACACTATGGTTCATAATTATAATAAGACTTTGGTTATATATTTTACATATATATAAAAACATCTTTAAATGATTTAAATATTCAACATTAATCCATCATTTTTATATAAAATATGCAATGTAAAGTATTGTACACAATGTAAAAAGACTTTTGTGTATACTGCATATTTTTATAAATTTTTGTAAATTTTCATAGCAAAAAAATCTTTTAATGTTTTTACTTATATTACATCAATACTTTTATTAAAAATTTATATAGAACTTTCTTAACGTTGAAATTTAGATCGTTATTTTTCAACCATATATCAACCATTTCAACGGTTTTACAACGTTTTTTTAACGTTGATTGTCCTTGCTGGGCCATTGTCATGATAAATGCCTTAATCATTAACATTGATTATTTTACTTAATAAATCTAAAATATATAGTCTAACAAATTGTTACATCAATGCAGTCATGTATATTTTTCTTTTTCCTTTTTTCCTTATTAAAATAAGTTTAGATTTTTTTGCTATTTTTTATCATACATATTGTTTCTTCTAGAATAATTGTGTGTGGTTTTTTGCAAATTCAATTCTTTTATCTTAAATATCTGCAGGTATTGAGGGGTAGAATTTATTATTGTCAAATTAAATAAATGTACAATCAATTTTATTTTCAATTATGGAGAATATTGCTTTATCTAAGAATGTACCTGATAAACAATATATTGGCTGAATTAAAAAAATGTTTTGCCAATCATAAACAATCCCTAAAAAATAAAAAGTATTCAAAAGACACAATGCTGTCAAAATGCATGTGGGAATTAAAAGATGAAAATATTGATGATTTTATACTAAATTGGTCCATTCTTAAAACAGCACTTGCATATAGCAATATTTCCAAAAATTGCAAACTATGCCTACAAGAAAAATTTTAAATAATTACACATGCGAATCAAGAATGTTTATTAAACAAAAAATCTGAATTTATTTCTAATGCAGGCACTAAAATAAGTTTCTCCTAAAAAACTATAAAAATAAATTAGCTCAAATAATAATTACATTAAAAAATAATTTAAAAATATTTTTTTCAAAAAAGCAGAATTAATCATTTCTAATGAACTCTTTTTATAATAGTATCAGCATATTCAACAAAATGTGTGAAAATTTACAGTAGTTAAGACATTTACAATTTCCTGTAATTTAATTTTTGGTATAAACTGAAGTTTTATTAACTTGATCATTCATTTCTGATGAAACTTTATTGATGAAACACAGTATTGTATGAAAAATTTTTATTAAATGATTTTCTACTAATTTATTATTGCTCTGTTCTTTTAAGAACATTGAGCACTCTATTTTGTAGAATACATTTTAAAATTATATATATATATATATATATATATATATATATATATATATATATATATATATATATATATATATATATATATATATATATGATTAACTATTAATATATACTTAATATACCTCCGTAAACATGACAAAATATAAGCCAAGAAAAGGTAAATTCTCCAAATACAGCATTAGCTTTGACCACGCAAGTAAAATTGAAACAGATCCTGATTGTCGCTTCATGGCTTCTAAGTTGTACTTGCAAGCAACAAAAGAAACCATAAACAAGGCTGTTGATGTGTACAAAAAGAACTCTAGTAATTTAACAGGATCAAACATGTAACTTCTACCAATATATGCAGCTAATATTAATTTAAAAAAAATTTGAATACATGCTATACTAAGAGTCAACCATGAGATAACCACAGCAAAATGATTTTCGTGATTTTTGCATTGATGAGGGAACTCACTTTTAGAACTAAAATTTAGAAAAATATTTGTACTTTTTAAAATATTTTTTCTGAGTTAGTCAAGAATCTAAAATCATATTCATTTAATTTTAACCTATACATAATCCTTTATATGTTTATATTTTGATATATTTAGATGAAATAATTTTAAAGCTAAATTATTTACTACTTATATATTATGAACAATTATTAATCCATTTCTCTATGAATTATTTTTTCAAATTGTTACACTGTGTAGCACCTCCATAAGCCATTTTGGCAGTTTAGAAATAAAATATAGTCTATAATACAAGATTATTAGCAAACCTCATGGGTAAACTAACTAATAAGGGTAAAACCTCATGAGTAAACTAATAAATAACTAAGAAACAAATTATTTAACAATGTATCTTATCAAAATATATTGCTAAAAAAATGACATGTGTACCCATATTTTCTTTGAAATTAAAATTGTATTATACACAATATTTTATACAGAAAGGAGTTAAAGTCATAACAACAAGCATATGTATTATATAAATTATATAAAACAAATATATGAGTTTTACAGTAATCTGGTATCATTTCCTCTGAGAAATAAATTTAATATCATGACATAAAAAAGGTGGCAAAAACCATTAATACTTACTTAATTCTTTCTAAAATTACAAGTGCGGTAAGAAATGAAACAAATATTAAATAAAAACAAAGCGAGCATAAATAAATCCATTGACCCATCCGAGACCACTTTTGATTGATAAGTTCAACAACAAGGGGATGGCTCAACAACTTTCCGCGTTTATATTTTACCATTAGTAATGGTGCAAAAAATGAATTATCAGGATTCATAGGGTCCTTATCTATAAATTCAAAATTGTATTCAACTGAATAGTCAGGATTTTTGATATCAAGTTTAGAACATATAATGCAGTTATCTAGTGCCTTTTCTCCGACTTCTGGAGTTAGCTCAATCATTTTTTTCATAACATGTGTTCCACTATTGTCCATACTAAGAAGTGCTTCACGCCATCTTAAAAGAATTGATTAAAATGTCAAAATGTCATTGTATTTTAGAAAGTTAATTAACTCACCACAAAATAATTTAACAAAAAAGTTCAACAAATAAATCATAAATAAAAACAAAAATCAAAACTAATTAAACATCAAATAAAGATAAACACCGTTCATGTTGCATAATTGCCATACATGCTTCTTTTTGTAAGTTTTCAACTGCAAGGTACAAGCAATTTTTATTTTCATTTGTTTGTAACTGAACATTAGCTCCATGCTCTAACAATAAATTTATGCATTCAACATGGCCTTCAGTTGCTGCATGATGAAGAGGTGTATAACGATTTTTGTCAGAAGCATTAACATAATCTTTTTTGAGCAGAGCACTAAGCAAAATGTTCAAACTCTTCTCTTTACCATTTTGTGCAGCATAATCCAAAGAACTCCAGTCAAGATTATCACGTAAGTAAACATTAGCGCCAGACACAATTAGTAGCTTTATTACATCTCTGCCAAAAAAAATAGAATAAAAAAATAACTAAAATTTAAGTACATTTGATAATATTAGCTACATTTTTATATTACTATAAAATTTAAAAAAACCAATTTAAAAAAATTACTCTAAGTGTGTGGAGGTACGGGAACTCTTTACAATTTATTTTAAATAAATAACAATTTTTTTTTCAAACCAGGCTTATTGACTCTAGAATTCAGAATTTTTATAACTTTAAATAACTATATCTAAGTTTATATATCTGTAAATAGTTTTGTGAAATCCTTTAACTTATTTACACATGTTTAACACATTTTTTATTTTTCTGCTATAGAAATTTTTACATAGATTTTTTACCAAACTATTTCTATAACCTCACCAGTTCCTGTAACATCCTTATAAATATTTTTTATTTTATCACCCTTATGAATATTTGTTATTTTATTTATATCTTTTTAATACATCCTAAAAATTTAAGTTTGAATTATTTTTTCACATCAGCTATAAAGTATCATTTCAGCCACATATGTCACATATGTCAGCTGTAAAGTATCATAAGTCACATATGCATTATTTACTTGCCAATAAAATGCTATGTAAAATTATCATAAAAATTTGAATAATAAAAAATAACAATGGACTTATTATAATGCTAATTTTTAGTCAAAAAGTTTTCAGGTAACTTAACAAGGAACATGTATTACATTATTATTAAATTATTTTTTTCAATGTTTATTGTTTCACATTTGTGTGTGATGGTTGGTTTGGTTTCTATAATCTTATTTCCTTATTTAAATATGACAAAAAAAAATTAAAGTAATTTTTTTTTATTAAAGTTATTCACCTTCCCAAGGCCGAAGAACCTGCTACAGTCAAGGAGGAAACTTTTTTTTTAATTTTTATTGTGTTTACACCCTCTTTCAACTATATAAACCAAAAGTATAGTATAATAAATTAGTAAAATAAATTAGTTAAATTGTGTATACAAATACATTTCATAAAAGTATAAAAATGACCTTCTGGTCATTTTTGTATTTTTATGAAATGTATTTTTATAAAAGTTCAATTAGGTTGTTATATTATTATGTTGTGTAGATTAACCTGTGATCATTTAAAACTGCCAAATGAAGTGGAGTCATTCCACGAGCATCAGTTGCATTTACTTCACCAGGAGAGGTAGAAATAAGCAGTTTTACACAATGTAAATGACCAAACTCAGATGCTAAATGAAGAGGTGTCTTTTCTTGATTATCACCTATATCGATGGGAGCATTTTTGTTAATTAAAAGTTGCAATGCCTGTAATTTAAAAAAGTCAAATGTATAAGAATTCAAAAAAAAGCGACCAAATGAATAAATAAAACTGTTGTTGCTACAGTTCTTGGGATAAACAACTTAAATGCAAGTACAAAAAACAAGAGAAAGACACAAATTTAAAACAAAGGAACTTAGAATATACAAAAATTTATTCTTATTTTTTAATTTATATATTTATATATTAATACATTAATATATTTCAAAAAATATGAAACAACCTAACCACACATAATTACTTTTTAGTAACGATGTGGGCTTTTTGACCAAATGAAAATTTAGAAAAACATAGAGTTACTATGTTTATGAGGATTTAATGTTAATGAATTTTAATTGAGATTAATTAAAAAAATATTAGATATAAAATATTGAAGCATAAAAAACCACACTAAGCATTACAACTAAAGGTGAACTAAAGTTTAACTATAGAATTTTAAAGAAATTTCAATATAACCTTTAGGACATAAATATTTATTCTAAGTTTTATTATAGTTTTATAGCGATCTATTTGCATAATGAACTAACATAATTTATATATATATATATATATATATATATATATATATATATATAAATATATATGTATATATATATGTATATATATATATATGTATATATATGTATATATATGTATATATATGTATATATATGTATATATATGTATATATATGTATATATATGTATATATATATATACCCAGGCCTTGGCAAAAGTGAGAGCTTTAGCACTTGCTCTTACTTACACTCCCCTAAAACAGTTTTCGGGAGCAATTTACGGCTCTTGCAAAAGTATAACTTATTCTCACAAAGGTATAACAATCATTGTAACTAAAATAAAAAACAAAATGTCATTTAAAAAAAAATTAATTGCATAATATACTGCAATGCTTTTTAAAAACTGCGGTTGCTGCAAAAAAAAAATTTTAATTAAAAAAGAGCGCCAATTTAAATGAGGAGCAGCTTGCACAGCTCCCCAAGTTCATTTTAGAAGAGCTTTTCTGCACTATCGTGCTCATTTATTTCCGCCAAGGCCTGTATATACATATATACAACCCTCTGAATTAGGATTGGCATTCGGCAACGCCAACCTAACTGCTGACCTAAAAGTGTTTGAGGTTGGCAAAAAATTGTCGACCTTGTTTTTATCTTTTATGGTAAGACCTTTGTATCAAATTTTTTTGCCGACCTCTAAAAGATTGAGGTCGGCAAATTATTGCCGACCTCACTTTTCCTAATTCCGAGGGTGTATATATTATATTTGTTATTCAGTAATAAAAATTTATATAGCTTTACATTGAAATTAGTAAGACAATAGTCCACTAACTTATATAAGAAAAATTTATTGAAGTCATCATGTAATTTTATTTTCTTCTGCAGAAGAACCAAGTGCCAAAAGATGTTCAGCTGGAATTTACAACTCAGGTCTTAACTATAATCTTTACTCTTATATCTAATACAATTTTCCTTTTTTTTTTTGCAAAAACAAAAAATTAAACCTGACTATTTCCCTTCAAAGCTGCATAATGTACAGGTGCTCTATTATTCTTATCCACGCTGTTCATTTTGTTAAATTGATCATTATCCAATAAAAATTTTATAACTTCTATTTGATTTTCTTTAAGTGCAATATGAATGCAATTTTTGTAGTTAATATCAGTTGAATTTATTTGAATACCTTGACCAATTAAATACTTTATAACTTCTAAATGTCCTTTCCATATAGCACACATAACAGGAGTATAATTTTTTTTATCATTGACATCAAGTATGGCTCTTTTCTCATCTAACAATCTTACAACTGATAATCGTCCAAATTGACATGCCCTTGTATGGTATTTAAACTACTGTTTGTATCACATAAGTTTATAACATTTCAAAACAACTATAAAAATTACACTTCACAAAAAAATTTCACAAATTAACTATAAAAATATAAGCCTACATAAATTTAAAAAGTTATTTAAAATACTCATATAGGTTATTTACCTGTGCAGAGGTGTCATCAAATCTTTATCAACTGATTGAATATCAGCTTTATAGGTTATAAGCATATTCACAACCTTTTCATGTCCACTGATTGCAGCCAAATGTAAAGGAGTTGAACCAGTATTTGTTTGCGCATTAACATCTCCACCAATTCTTATTAACTTGTTTAATGATTTTTCATTACCACAACGTGCTGCAAAATGCAAAGGTGTATAATTCTCGTTAGTTCTACTGTTTACATAGTCATTTTTTTGTTTCCTGTAGTCTTCTGAAGAAACATTTTGAAGAGCTAAATTTAAAAGCTTGTAAATGAATATTATAAATGTAGAAACAGAAAAAAATTTAACAGAAAATACTGCAAATACCATGAAAAGACACTGCAAAATCTCACCTCCTCTGAGAAGTAACTCAATAAGATCTTCTGCTATTGATGAAGGAACATGTTGAAAATCTTGAATTTTTTTACTTATTTCATTTGACACAATGTAATCTAAAAAAATTATAATATTTAAAAGTAAATTAATATAACATAAATTAAAACTATAGCAATATAATCTTTAACGACAGCAATTTATAATGTTTAAACTTTAATAATATTAGTCCTATAACAATTTTAAGTTACATATTGTAATGTAACCGAGTTAGGTTAAGTTATGTGCAAAATGTCAGTTATATAAAGGTAACAAGATGTAACATTTTTAAATAACAAGAAATATTATTTCTACATTACATTTTAACCTTAATAGTTGTAACATGGTAACATGTGGTTTCTTTAGATTTTTCAAGTTGGTAATTTTTTTTTAATTTGCTCAACATTTAAATAAATCAACTCATGAAGTAGCTACATAACTATATTCATAGCTTGCTATTTGTACTGTGTACTGTGCTTATGTAATATATGTACTGTGCTTATGTAATATATGTACTGCACTTATGTAATATATGCACTGTGTACTGTGCTTATGTAATATATGTACTGTGTACTGTGCTTATGTAATATATAATAATGTGCTTTTGTAATATGTAATATACAATAAACATACTTTTACTGTATTATCAAGTTTAATTAGTTAATATTTAATTAAAAGTAAGAGAATGTAACCTTTTAATCAATTGTAACAAATTGAGATGTAACATAACTTTAAAATGATATAGGGGGTAAAAAGATAAATATATAATAAAATTATTCAAAAATATAAAACTTCATTTTCATTAAAATTCTTAGAACATTAAAAGCTGTTCCTAAAAACTTGTTTTTTTAAAAATACTTTTCTTATATAATTGTCTGTTGATTTATTCTATTTATGAAACTTGCCTCTTGTATAATCTGCATTGGAAGATGCAGCATTATGAATTGGTCTTTCTCCTTTATTATTTTTAGCAAGTACATTGGCTCCATTATTTATAAGAACATTCACTACCTGTTTACACCCATCATTCATTGCTAGATGTAGAGGAGTAGCCTGGAAAAATATATAATCTTTTGAATCAACTTTTTTTTAAGCGTAAAGTAGCAATATAATATTGTTTACATCAGTTTTATATTGTTCTTTTGTATTGTTTCATTTCATATTGTTTTTCAGTTACAATGAAAACAGTTTAATCAATTTAAAAACTTATACAGAACTGTTAAAAAGTTTAAACTGTTTGATCATTTTCTTAGTCTGCTACATAAGGTATATATTAATCAAAAAATTTATTTTAAAAGAAAACTGCATATAACCATTAAGGTAAAATGGTCTAAGTTATTTTTTTGGGTTTTTCAATTAGCTTAATCTAAATTTTTGCTATTATTGTATAACTTTTAATTTAAAATATTTGACCATAAAATAATAATATAATAATGCAAATTTTGGAATAAAGGTTTTGGTACAAAGTAATAAATAAAAAAAATATAAATTTGGGTTATATTTTAAATTTTCAATAGATATTTTTATTTAAATGTTGTTTTATAATCTTATGCTATATGTATTTAAAACATTGTTATAAAAAAAATATTGCCATGCAATAAAGTTATTAATAAAAACAATATAATGGTTAATTGGAAAGGTTAAAATTAAAAAACACAGTTACAACTTATTTATTGATTTAAAATCACTACTTATAATGTGACTAAAATTTTTTACTACTTATGTGATTAAAACAAGAATAAAAAAAAGTTTGCCAATTTTTATGTATTATCTTGTATAGTAGCTAAATTCGTTGCATACCACATACAAAATAACAAGTACTTGTTTTTTGTATTTATGTCAAAATTAAGTACTTGAGTTGTTTTTTTAAACTTTTTTTAAAGTCTATACTACACAAGCAATGAAATCAGTTACTTAAATACATTAAAGTTCGTTTTAGAGTCTTGGGCTCTAAAGCTAATTTATTTTTTTAATATTTTTGTTTCAGAAAAAATGTATATATATATACTCATTATCATCTACTAGTTGTATAAACCCAACTCTTCAAAAGTCTAGTTTAAGTACTATTAAATAACTAATAGTTATTTAATCAAAGCTCTTATTGATGGTGAAAGTTAAACCTAAACTAATCAACTCTCAGTCAAAATATCACCCGAAAGTCCTGTTCAAATAACATTAACTTCTATATCAACCTTGATTATTTTATTTTATATATATATATATATATATATATATATATATATATATATATATATATATATATATATATATATATATATGTATGAATATATATATAATATATATATATATATATTATATATATATATATATATATATATACATATATATATAATATATATATATATATATATATATATATATATATATATATATATATATATATATATATATATATATATATATATATATATATATATATATATATATATATATATATATATATATATATATATATATATATATATATATATATATTGTCAAATGATCTGTTAAGCACAATTGAAATAAATATTTGATTAAAATTAATAACACTTTTAAAATGTTTGCTATACATGTTTCAAACTACATAGTTCATCATCAGTAAAAACAAAGGCCCTGTTTTAATAAACAAGTCAAACAGAATTGTTGAACTATTTTGACTATAATGGTGTTGATTTTAAAAATAAAATTTTAAACTTTATACCTATTATATTTTTTTAAATTAAGTTTCAAGACTGACACATTTTGTTATTGAATTTTAATGATCTTTTTAACTCTTTGTAATGAACTTTATAATAGATTTTTGTAATAAAGTAATTAATTTGTATTCCTTATAAAAACGGTTTTTTAATGGTTTTTGTAAACTTTACTGATTTGAAACATGTATAAGAAACATTTAAAAAATGTTGTTATTTTTATTCAAATATATATATATATATATATATATATATATATATATATATATATATATATATATATATATATATATATATATATATACATATATATATATACACACACAAACACACATAAAACTTAATTTATATATCAATATAAGTCATCACCAAATTGTCATCTTCTACATTAATGTTAACAAATGGGATTTTAAGAATCTTTATTACAAGCTTTTTATCACCACGTCTACTTGCATAGTGCAATGCTGTTGTCCCAAAATAATTTCTGATCAAGACATTTGCACCTTTTTCAATAAGAAACACAGCAGTATTTGTCTTTTTATATCTAAATATTATTCAAAAGATATATAGCAAATGCAATAAATTTAAATAAAATCTTATTTATACCTTTGAACTCACAGCGAGTATAATATCTATCTAGATCTATCTTTTAATCTATCAAATAAAAAAAATTTACTCATTGAACGATCTTTAATTTTTAGTATTGTTAAATACATTCCTTTGACATTAAAATCATTATAACCAACTCTACAAATTATAAAACTATTAAAATGACACTTATTAAACCAAATATTTTTTGCTTAATATCTTTTATATATTAAAAAATAAATTAAAATAAAACATTCTTTTAACTTACTTTGCTGCCAATAGTAAAGGTGTATTACCATCATCTCTATCTGGACTATCAATTAAAGCCCCATTTTCCAGCAGATATGCCACAACATTTACATTATTATATCGTGCAGCTAAATGTAAAGCACTAAAACCTTTCTCATTTAATTTATCTCTAACATTAACAAATTCTTTTGATGATATTGAGTTATTTCTTTTACATTCCTCAATGATGTGTCGAATACGCTCAATTGCACCTTCTTTTGCTGCAAGATGAAGGG